ATGATTAGTATCTCGATAACTATTGCAAAGATTGCAAAATGGTAGAGGACTTTTTTGTTCAGTTTGGTCCACACTACCTGCCCACAAGCGCTGTATCATTGAGTACGAGACACCCTGTATATATATTGTATTTATATGTATAATTGATTGATAACTAAAATATAAATAATTGAATTGACATTATATTAAAAATTTTTTTTATAGTTATTGCACTTATACTAAACTGGATCAGTAAAAACAATTTGAAATTTTAGATATTTATTGCAATTGTATTATAATAGAATTGAATAATTGCAGTTCTAATTCAATAGTTTTTTGCTTACCTGTGACCTTTTAGCTGCAACATTCCGCGAGCTTCGGCACCCGAAAGGAACTCCTTTTCTAGTTCCTCATCATTGTTTTTTATTCTGATCGGAATATTCATTCTACTACGTGCATCTGACTTGATAGGACATGTGTAAAATCCTTCTGATCCATCAATTACATTGTATATCTTGTTACTTTTCTTCTTTGCAAAGTTTTGCATACCTTCGACTCCACCATTCTGTTTGATCCATTCAAATACCAAACCCACCATGTATATTCTAAAATATTTATCATCAGACTAATATTAATAGTTATAAGAGCTTCCATTACAAGAAAAATGTGTAATATAAAAAATTAAATGTTATGTATATGTATATAAAGAATTACTTTTTGTTAAACAAAATTAAAATTATATAGGATTTATTATATAAAATCATGAATATAAAATAAAATGTCAAGTTTATACACACTACAAAAACTGCTAATTACTGTATTTCAGAAACATATGTAAGATGCAAACAAAGGTAAAAAAAATTTTCCTCTACTTTTTCCCGATATATAAAATTTTAGAAATGTAAAATGTTTCATAAATTTTTTTTCGGATTTTATTCTTAATAATTTTAAGATTTATAATCTTAAAATATACTTAAAATATACTTAAAATATACTTTATAATAAAAAATATACATATAAATAGCTGATATAATTGAATGCGTATAAGATAATTTTAAGATTTATAATCTTAAAATTATCTTATACACATTCAATTATATCAGCTATTTATATGTATATTTTTCAGCCAGTTATTATAAAATCACTTACTGAAAAACAGGTGGAGTATTGTGTAAAGAATTATCATTTGCCATGACAGTAAAATTCAGCACTGTCGGACATATATCCATAGCACGGTCAAGCATGTCATCTCGTACTATTACTAAAGTAACCCCAGCCGGTCCAAAATTTTTTTGTGCACCCGCAAAGATCACTGCAAACTATAAAAACATATGTTTAATTGTCATCTCACTATTCCGGCTTCAGTTTATAATTGCGTTATTACAAGCACGAAATTAATTCGGCGCGCAGTTTAAAATAACTGAAATATGGAATTAAGATTTACACAGACATATTATTCGGTGCCAAGATCCAGTCTCGACCGTTTAAAGCGCTCTCATTTGAATTGTGTTTATCACTTACGTGGTCTATATCCTAATTATTGTTTATCATGTTTGTTATGTGTATGATATATTTAGAAATTGATCTTTGTTTTAAAAAAATGGAATAACTGTTAAAACCAGTTAAATTGATTTTCCGACTAACAAGGGAACCTCGCGAAGTGTCAAATTCTGATTTGAATGAAACTTGGTACACTTTGAGGTCACATAAATAAATGAATTTAGAAGTTATCAATTGGTGCTAAAAAACGGTTTAAAGGAATAAATCCATCCCTTATATGTAAATTAATTCTTTTTTTCTTTCTTTATATCTCGAAAACTATTCAAGATATCAAAAAATGTTGTGTACAAAAGTTTTACAGTAAAATTGTCTTTATTTATTTACGTTAATAATATTTTCTTTAATAATTA